GTGCCTCCCACCATTAAATTCGAGGCATTTTTGAAAATCCCAGGTCAAAGGTTTTCATCACTTACCTGACCTTAGAAATCTGGTTCCAAGTATTAACAAAAGTCACTGGGCAAAATGAAATTTAAGCTCCTGAGTTACTTGGGCTTATTGGTAAATGTTGCCTCCTATTAATGAAGGTGTTTCAAGGACAGTGAAAAATGATAACGGTCATTTCTTATACAATATTATAAGAAAGGCAAGGATTTCTTAGGGTGATATCTTGCATTCAAAAGCTTGTCTATCTTTATCCCAACCGCAGATCTGGTCTAATAAAAGATGTCACCCTAAGAAATCTTTGTCTTCTGCATAATTTCTGGACTGTTACAGCTACAACACCACTCTTACACTACAGTATGATATCATATCTGTGCCTACTATTAGTCATTGTTCCTGTAAATATTAAATATTCAAATATGCTAAAGTGTATTAAAACAGATTCCAAGACTTGTACTTACATCTTAATGCAAAACCTGTAGTTACTGACCTTGAGGTTTGGTGTTTGGGTCTGATCTACAATAAATCGCATCAGAATGTTAAACTGCTGATCAAAAGGAAAAGAATCCCTGTTCAGAGGGGAGGAAAAGAAATAAGAGTGATTTCCATTCCTGAGGAGACTAATATAATGTCATGCACTTCAACTTACAGAAAAACATAACTGAAAATGTCCCAAAAGTACCTTTTAAATATTAAAACATTGTTTTGTGAACTTCAGGTGCATTTGACCAGCAATCAAATAGGTTAAACACCACACAAAAAGGATGTATTGAATAAACTATACAATTAGTACTGGAAAAAATATTTTCAAATCAGTTGTCACACAATGCCACTCAGTCTGCCCAAGGTACGTGCTTCTTGCTTTTGTTACACATCTCCTTCTTTTCCTCACTCCATGCTGCTCGTTTGTTTTCTGATCTATACAAGATCACAGCTAATCTTTCAAAGCAGCACCTCAAATTGATTCCTCCCCTTTTTTTTTCTTTCCTCCATCTCTCACCAAACGGCCTCTTCAATCCCATATAAAAGACATGCGGTCACATCGCAGTGTAAAGATGCTGTGCACCAGATGTCCTCAGAGGGAAAACATGACGTGCGGTTGGCCTCATGGGCCGATCTGCACCTCAGGGCTTCCTGAGGGCTTGAAAGCCAGTGAGTGGCACAGCTCTGGAGCTCAAGAGTTTAATGGCATTGCTGCTCACACAGTTTTTCCCCTACTGCTGATCTTAGCCAGGAAGGATGGCAAAAAATAATTAAAAACCCCAAATCTGGTGGGGGGAAGCCAACACTTTAAACTTCTTTGTTTTCGGAGTCACTTTGATGCTGACTTGCTGTATGGACATGTTCGCAAGTACTGAGCACTCTGGGTCACACCACCACCAATTTCCTGAACACAGCAGTATCATCCAAGCTAAGAAAAGGACAGTGAAAATGCACACCACACAGAGTCAGAGAGTAGCTAGCATTTCAAAATTTTAATTGTAGCCTCTAAAGCAATGCTTCCCAACCTCCTTTGGACGAAGGCAGTCTTTGGAAAGTGCCAACTCTTTGGGGGTTTGACTGCAGAAAAATACTAGATCAATTCTTCTGTTGCAAACTCAAGATGACCACAACAGGGCTACATGGTTTTAACACTGTGGATTCCTCTTCGAAATTGCTGGGTTTAATTTATGAATTATGTCTGCACACCTAACAGTGCTAACATTACGTGGCATGCTCCTGTGCCAGACAGATCCACGGCATTAAACCGGAAAGCTCATCTCTACTCTACATGGATCATTATGAATAATTAGTACGAACTAGAGCCCACAGCTCACTGAACAGGCCCAGATCAGCATTCTGCCTGTCCGACTAATGGAGACAAAGCGGCCCCCAGGACGTCCATTAGAAAAGTACAAAGACCCATGAAAACTCTTAGAGAATTTACCAATAATATGGATTAAAGCTCAATGGTTCTGTATAAAGGACTACAACGAGCCCACAGAACCCGCGTATTCAAAGGATCGTAAAGCGCCCCAGAGTGTCACAGCACCTTGGTCAAGAATCACTGCCCTAAAGCGTTAAGAAAAGGTACTTACATCTGGGTTGGGGTTTTAAATTTGAGGGAGGAGCGGTGCAATTCAGCTCATTTACAACAGTGTAAATCAGACAACGCCATCAATGTCAAAAGCAGTTAATGAACATAAAATGGGTGCATTCATGGAAGAATCTGGCCCATCTCTGTAGCTGGATATTGAGGACAAAGCCAGCTCATCAAGTACAGCACAGGTCTTTCTGCAAACCCTGATTACAGGACATCTGCTAGTTACTGTACCTCGTCACATCCAGAGCTTTCTGCACCTTTGCCTGCACAGATCCCAGCAAATCTGCCCCCATCTTCTTGAGCAGCTGCGTCAGGAGAACAAAGAGCCAGTCTTGCAGGTCATCCTTATGGATGATGATGAAGTCAACCAGGGTTTCTAGAAACATGCTGAAAACCTACAGATAAATGCAAATTGAACACCAAAAAAGAGGAAAGTGATATTCTTAGTAGAAATATCAAGAGAGGAAGTCTTTAGAAATCTGTGCTTTACAAGGATTTGGTTATAGTCAGTTTATATATGGATGTTTTAGTGAACGTGTTAGCAACTGGGGATCATGGGCAGCACACATCCAGGATGTGTTGTGTTGAAATGTCGCGTTAAACGGAGGGAAGGAGAAGGGGAGAAGACACTTACTCTCTGTTGTGAATTCCACCGCAAAGCAGGCCATGCAACAAAACAAACCAGTCGTTAGTACACGGAGGGAACCAATGCTGACTGCTCTGGTGCAGTTTTTTCAGTGGATAAAAGAAGCATTCATAAAAGGTTGATAACATCTTTTACTAAACTGCTCACGTTTTAAACCACAGTTATATAAACATTACAAATCTAGGTCCAAATCCAGTCCCCTTGCTCATGAAAGCAGTGACTTTAGCTAACAGCCATGCCCACACCAAGTAAGGAGAGCGGGATTCATTTTTCTGGATATATAATTGTCCCCCCTTTTTTGCAATTAAAGTTGTTTTATAATCTATTCTCTTGCTCCCTCAACCCAGCTTGTTCTCGTACCCCAGGCTGGTGCCACAAATCCTCCCCAACGCTCCAGTACAGGCAGGGATGGCTTGCAGAAGGGAGCCAGAAGTTAGAAACCAAGAGCCGAATTCTGATCTCAGTTGCACTAGTAAATCAGGGGTCATCCCATTGAAGCTAATTTTGTCTCAAAATGTAATGAAGGCCAATGGCTAGAAAGCCAGCGACACTTGCCTGGACTGACCCCAGTGCAACAGAGTGCAGAGTTTGATCCAGCATCAATTAGACTAGTCCCAAGCTGCAAATATTTTTTGTAAACAGATAGCCACGCTTGGCCCTTTCAATGCCACGTAAGACAAAATCTTAAAGAACCAAAACAAAGAGACCTTACATGGGGCCTGCCACAGCAGATCAGACCCTGGGTCCATCTGGTCCAGTCTCCTGTCTCTGAGAGTGGCCACAATCAGATGCGTCAGAGGTCGGCAGTAGGCAATTATGGAATAACCTGCCCACACACAACATGTCTACCTGACACCCATCAGTTAGAATTGGTTTGCAGAGGACCTGGATCCATGTTTTAAAAACCCTGTCTAATATAATAGGGGATGTTCTCATCAGTGACACAGATCATTGCAAATGCCTACCTTTCGGGCCAAGACTTCTCACAGCTAGTGGGAGCTCCATTACACTTAAAAAAAGAGGATGCCCTTTGCTCCAACATCCTCTTGGCCCTGTTTGCACTGAGAATGTGTTGCACGGTCTGGGGAAATGAGGCCAAGGTGGCACTCAAAACCTCTTGTCCATACAGAACAGGAGGGATCTGTGGCTCTCCAAAGGATGGCCTGGGATTTTGGCTTGGAAGGATGACAGTACAAGGTTGTGTTGCATGTTTCTTTGAAGTTAAAATCACATCCAAACCTGTCCCCCGCACTCCCCAAAAAGTTTTTGTATCCTTATGTAACATGCACAAGTTCTTATTAATACTGTAACAAAGCCATGGCTATTTGGGGGTTTGTGAAGCTTGCTCTGTTGCGTATCACTCAGAACTTCAAACTGGGAGGGGAGATTAAAAAAACCACCTACAACAAGAGAGCTGGTTCCTGCAAGGTAATCAGTGCCTTGAGAGGCATGGGGCTGCCAACTCCTTCCAGCAGGCAGGGTCAAATCCACCCCCAGACATACCCCTATTACTTGAATTAATGGAGCATCTATGACGCATCATGAATCTGCTCCGGTGACACCCATTAAAGGACAGGGGAAACTATAAACCACCATGGCAATGCAACTCTGTACGCAGTGCAACAGAACAGAATGACCCAAAAACGCAGCTGGGATCTTACCTTGCTATGAGGATCCGCAAACATGCGAGTAAAGATCTCACACAGCCTTTTTAACTCGACTCGGCTAAAACACAAAAGAGAGCATTATATTAAAGATAAACCTCTTATTCACAGCAGAGTAGGTTACGGCTGTTGGCGATGGTGGGAAGCGACTGAGAGCTAGCCTTTTAAAGTAGGGCTCGCTTACATAAAAAGCTGTGCTGATCCCACTAAGGGTGTCATTTAAAAGCAATTTGGTTAAACTGGTGCGAGTGGGGCTGATGCTTTCTGGGTTGCCTGTACAGGGAAGCTAGCAGGCAGTCTGCGAGGGTGCGAATTTAAAAGCCACAAGCTACTCTGCGCTAATTCCCTGTGTGGACTCTCGTAGCACATGGGAGGTGCTGATAGCTTATCGCATTTTCAAAATAAGACGCAGGTATTTGTACCAAGTTTTTGGGAAAGGTCCTTTCCTTTTCTGCCATGTACAGATTCCCTCATCTCTCTTTTTGGGGAAGTAACATTTTCTACGGAGGAAGAGTGCGTCTGCTCTGTTTGGGTCAGGTCCTGATCGGAGTTCGTCTGTGAACCCTGAGCAGTTCCAATGAAACCTGTCCAGATTTATAGTGTAACGATGGATTTGGATGCGGGAATCTGGCTCGCTCCACAGGCAGGAAAGAGGGAGGTGTGCAACGGGAGCAGTTCGCTGCAAAGACTGCATAAGCTATAATTAATCAACGGGGATGAGACATAAATGCGAAGTTCAGATGGCAGAAGATTATTGGGTGCTTAAGAAACCGAGAGAAAAAAGCAAGCGGTATTTTCTGCAGACAGAATCATGGGTCCCTGCTTTTGATAGCTACTTGAATCCAGAGCCATCTGCAACAATGGTTTAGTGGCAAAACTCCTCTCTCAAAGGCGTTAGAGACCATGGGGCCAGATCCTAAGGTCTTTACTCTCTTTTTTTTGTTCATTGTGGCAAGACTGCCAATGAAGACCACGAGAGTTTTGGCTTATTAAGACCCAAGTGGAAACAAACTAAGGGCAGCAGGATAACGCTCTGGCACGAGCTGATTGCTAGCAGTTATTTCTGACCATATCACACTGTCCTCTGAAACCAGGGCACACGGGCAAATACACCTGGATTCTTCAGAGACCGCCTGTGCAGGTCTGAATATGGACTTCTTGTCTCCACTGACTTCCATCCACAGCTTAAACCAAGCCTCGCAGGACAGGCAAGGGTACATGAGTAGTCAAACACTGAGACGCATTTGCAGAGGGAACTTAATGGGGGAAAACGTCTCTCACATAACTATTCTAAGCATGGAAGACAGAGACGGATTTTAAAAGAGTATAAGACAAAGGCAGCAGTCTCCTGAGAAGCAAATAGATGTAGAGAAAAATAAGGCTTTGCAATGCTGCCAAAGCCTGCTGTCAGCCTAATTCAGTGCGGAGACTGCGCTGGCTCCACGCGACAGCTCGGCAACTCTCCCCTGACCTGATGCAGATCGCTGCTCCTTCTGAATAAACACCTCGTTATTTCCCTGACGGAATTTATTTCCCAACAAGGGACACATGAATGCGGCTATTGTGCGTGTTCTTGCTTTCAATGCACTCTAACCTACGATAACAACAGTGGTGCCAACCTCAAGCAGTTGAACTACATTTTCTCAAGGGACTCGCTGGCCCTGGCTATATCTAAGTGATCTTGCCAGGGCCAGTTTATAAGAAGCCTTAAAAAGCGAGAAGGGGAAAGTATAATGGACCATTTGTAGTGCTTTGGATCCTGCAACCTTTCCAGAGCCTTGGCTGGTTAATGCAGGATCAGGCCCTCTTCAGCCCAGAGGAATCAAACCCAAGCTCAGAGAAGTAAAACCAGCCACTTCTTCATTAAACTTCAGTTATATAACAAGATGATGCTGCAGCCAATCACGCTGTGTCTAATAGGAAAATTTTCTCTTCTACTACTTGCACCTTGGACTATAAGGACCTGATGCTCTCCTAGTGATACTATGGGGACACTTGGGTTGAACTACTCCAGAAGGCACTGCTGTAAGGGCATCACAAGATCACCGTAGTAAGCTGGGGGAGGTTATTACAAACCAGAAGAGATATAAATTGCAGGAACAATATCAACATTTTTTTTTAATGCAGTGGATGGATTTAAAATGAAGATGGTTTACCATAAACCTGGGACTGGTTTATAATGCATCCAGGATCAGAGCCAAGGCAATGTGTCCAGATTGGGGGCTCGGGGCTAGGAGGGCCATTTGAGATACCAGGACTAGGAAACAAAGCCTTTCTACCACTGGGACATTATTCTGCAGCCTCCACCACGCGGTGTTCCCAAATCTCCCCCCCCCGGTTGACATCACACCACCCCCCTTTCCTATCATATTCCCACACACCTACACACCATAACCCAAATGTGGGCACAGCTTCCTGTGCCCGCATGTGTGGTGCCAATGGACCCCTGCCAGGTCATTAGTAGAAAATCATTGGGTAACAAAAACCAGTGTGCATGTGGGAAGTTAATTTTAAATGCCTTTTGAATAGGTCAAATGAAAAAATAAATAAATAAAAGGATTTCCATCAGACCACACAGAGACACATCTGTGACCCAGGAAGAATGTCACTGCCACATGGCAAGTTTCTAGCACCTCCCACTGAGACACTACAGCTGTTCAAACACATGGGTGGAAAAAGCTTTTTATAATGGCAGGACTATTTCTTCTCCCCTCACCACTCTCTCAACAAAGCTTTGTTCTCCAGCAGGCTTTTGCTCAGACAGCCAGTGAGAATAATCAAAAAGTTATAACTACTGGAAAAGTCCTTTAGAATGGAAAATGGGGGCAGCCTTAATTTCATAGATTTCATAGACATTAGGGCTGGAAGGGACCTCGGAAGATCATCGAGTCCAGCCCCCTGCCCCAAAGGGCAGGAAGTCAGCTGGGGTCATAGGATCCCAGCAAGATAAGCATCCAATTTGCTCTTGAAGGTGTTCAATGTAGGTGCTTCAACCACCTCCGATGGCAGGCTGTTCCCGTTAATGACGGGACTGTTGATCCGACAACAGCCATTTCTAAACCTGCTTATAGGATCAGAAGGCCTGGAAAGGAACTCACGAGTTCATCGAGTCCAGCCCCCTGCTCATTCCCGACTACACCATCCCAGCCAAGTTTAACCTGCTCTTGAAAATTTCCAGGGATGGAGAGTCTACAACCTTTCTAGCTAGCCTATCCCTGATCTCCAACCTAAATTTCATTGCCTTTTATAATGTTTGTTTGCATTATTTTGAACTGATTAAAAAATTAAGTATTAACATGTCCTCTCCGAAGCACCAATCCTGCAAGAAAGCCGCAAGTAAACACTTGTTTCCCGGCACTTGCACCATCAATGGAGTTTCAGAGTCTGCCTATACACTTCAGGATCTTAAAACACTTCCTTCTTCCCCACTATAAGTTGCCTTGTCTATACGAAGCTCATGTATGACTTTTAATGCAGTGTTCACAAGGGGTCACAAAAATGATACCAAACATAGTGAATAGTGTATGTGTGTGCGCGTGCATATGCATAAGTTCAGGGCAGTCCTTGACCCCATGTTTAACAGTTTTATAGTATATAGAATAAATATGATGAGCACTGGCTTCACAGAAAAGTTGCGTTACTCTGAACTGATTAAAAAATTAAGTATTCACACGTCCTCTCCAAAGCAGCAAATTCTGCAAGAAAACCGCAAGTAAACACTTGTTTCCCAGCACTTGCACCATCAGTGGATCAGTTGCTTTTGAACAGAGCGTACCTAACAGACGTCCCCAGATAAGCCCCAAAAGAAGGAGCTGCGCGACTGAATCAGAGCGCACTTTGGCTGTGCTAGGTTTTTGGCAAGCACATTTTGTGAGCAACATAGCCATGTCCCACGAAAGACTGCCACTGCCAAGCTACAAACATCACCTCAGCGTCCTCTGGCTCTTCAATAAGTTCTGGAGACCGATGAGACCCTCCTTTCTCTCCGACCAGTTGGAACTAGCACAGTGGTTCAGGACCTCAGCCACATCCTCCGTTTGCCGCAGGTAGTGGGGAATGCCTCCATTTCTGGAGCCGTAGGAGCGCTCGGAGCAAGCGCTGGATGCGTCGCTGTTAGCATCATCATCGGAATACATCCCGTACGGCTCGTATCTTCTTCTCACTGGCTTTTTCTGGAAGTGGAGGGGAAAAACCTGCACACTTAATAAAGGGTACGCCATTACATCCAAGCCAAAGATGCTCTGTCTATATTGCAAGCGAAGGAGGCTGGCAGCTGTTACAGCAGCACAACGGTGTTTCACTGAGCACTGGCCAGTTTACCTTCCTTGCCTTTGCAAGAAGAGTCCTGCTGCTTTCGGTGGGCATATTCAAACTGAGAGGAGCAAGCTGATGCTTCAACAAGGCAAATGAATTAACTCGACTGAAATGCCAGCTACAAGTGGATGTCATCGCATGCTGTTTTTATTGAAAGTAATGGATGTCTCTCTGGTTACAGAGTCAATCGACAATATAGCTTTTACTTCAGGAAAATTTAATCAGGCACAAAGAGGAATCTGCAAATAATCACTTCTGTGCAATAATGTAGGACAGGCGAGGGTGCACAGGGGTATCAATCCAGAGCAACGAACTTCACTATAGTCAGTGGTATTACTCCAGGTTGTCAATGATCTACAAGAGATCACAATGAGTCTTTTATTTTGGGCTGGGGATTTTTTGACAGAGCCCCTGAGGGTCAAGCATCACAAAACTATGCGTTTTAATGGCTTCAAGGCACCTCACTCCCTTAGGCACCTTTGAAAATCCCAACTGAAACTGATTTTCAAAGGCACCTAAGGGAATGAGGCGCCCTGAAGAACGATCAGGATAATTATAATAATGAATCAAATATAATTCCATGGCAGAAACACTTAAACAACCCTTAACAGAAAAGAATTGACAAAAAATGTAAGAGAAAAATGTCGCCTGTATTCTTAGGTGATTACTACACAATTCCTTTCTGAGAGCCCAATTCTGCAGTCCTTATACTTGTAAAGCCAACAAATGCTTGGCCTAGATTAGCACTCCACAATTGGGCAGTAATAAATTAGCAGCAATGGGGAAGGGGGAGGAGGGTTGCAACAGGAAAAAAAAAGTTTGGAAAGTAGAAATAAAAAGTCAAGAAAGCACTAGTACCTTGCTCCTGGAGTCTCCTAACAGCTGTAGGCAGGAAAATATTGAAGGGTGGGAAAAAGCATAGAGAATTATGTCAGAAGCTTATGTAGGGATCGTTCTTGCAACAAAAACGTACAGCAAATGTGTCTTAGCAAATTAAAAAAAAAACAACACAAAAAACAGTTTATGCAAAACAAAATAAAAGTGGGTATAAAAAGGCCTGGCTTTATATCTCGTCCCATTCACCTGGCACAGACAAGGCTCCCATTCGAGTGCTTGTGACTGGAATCGCCCCTTCCTTACTGGTTTACATTGGCAGAGCTGCCTATACCATCACTTTGTTTTACCTCTTCAGAAGCTGCTTTACCACAGACCCGATTTTTGACTGCTCATTTGTCCGCTAGAGGCAGCACCTGATTATGGAGTCATGGATGGAGCTGCTAATGCCAAGAAGCAACTCTACACAGTACTGCCTCGCTTAACCAACTCCAACTAACCAAGAGCATTTATTTTTTTTTGTCTCGGAAACATCTCCCCCCCTCTCCCCCCCACCGTTTCTTAAAGCTCTGCATCTTTGAAGCCAGCTGGCTGGCCCCTCTTGCATTTAACACCCCATTTACTCAAAAGTCCTTGATGTTCCTTGAAGCGTTCAGATAAATAAGCTTGTGCTGTGTACTGATTCCAAGTACGGGCCTTTGGACAGGCAGTGCGAGTCTCGGGGCCAGTTCCTGCTCTCGCACATGAGCGCAGGAATCAGCAGGAGCTGTACACATGTATCAGAGGTCAGAATTTGACCTGTGGCATTATTGCTCAAATATGAGTTTTGGGCCAAAGCCATCTTTAGAGAAATTCCTCTCCTTGCCTGCAAGGAGGCGAAGAATGCTCTTTCTGTATACAAGGCTGCTGGAGAAAAGCTGGCACCATACTCCTTGCCCAGCGCAAAGACTGAACTGTCTTTGTCAAGTCTGTGGTGGGAGATGGAGGCCCGCAGAGAAGAGCAGAGATGAGGCCGGCGAGGAGGGGGTCTACAGGATGGACCCGCATCTCTTGCAGATGCAACAACTCAGATATGACACTACATTTTAGAGCAATGGCTTGCAGAACCAGAACATTACACTGAAGCTTTTTAAGCCTAAAAAGACTGAAACCAATAAGAGGGAAAGAAGATATGGAGAACTGGCCCTAAAAGTTTCTAGGACTCCCTTTCAGGATGTTACCACAATATATACGGTATTCCTTAGATCAGCAGTTCCCAAACCCTGACATTGCGCACCACAATTTAAAATGATACAACCTTAAGTACCACCAGCAAATGTTTGTCACAGTGAGCAATTACAATAACTGTGTTAATGAGTATCGCTAACAGCTTGTCCGCGTGCCACGGGTGGGACCCATAGCACAGTTTGGGAACTGCTGCCTTAGACTGTACTGCCCCATATTCTTTGTGGACAATGCTTACATTATAAAGGAATATTAGCTGGTTAACTGGCCAACATTTAAAGGGAGCCCACTATCTCTGTTTCAAACTCTGAGCCGTATTCGAACAGATCTCAAGCCTGAGACACTGTCATGAAATTGTTCGAACAAGTAAGTCTGGGCACAGTCCTCGTGGACAGATTCCCATCTCAGTGATGCAGATGTAAAAATAAGAGCAACTCCATCAACAGCAGTGATGTTACAAGTCATTTGACTGAGACCAGAAGTTGGCCCACAAAATACCTGCTCTATCTGGTCACTCAACAGAATGATTTGGTCCAATTAAATGTAACAGCATAGGCTGTTCTTAATGTTTTCTTTTTATACCATGTTGAATCTGTACTTCTTAAAACTGGTTTAGAACAAGGGGGGTTGTCCTTCAGCTAGGCAGTTCCCAACCCTCATCTGGGAGAGGTTGCTGGTAGTCTTGGAGAGATGTCACTGAAATGGAGTTACGTGCTCAAAAACAGAAGGAAAGAAGGTATGGACAACTGAGCGGGAAAGAACGGGGTCTGCCAAGGGCATTTGGGGAAGGGCGTCCCCAATACCTTAGGTCTGCCACATGCATTTGGGGAAGGGTGTCCCCAATTAATTCTCCTGATGGGGACATCATTCATAACATGGAAAGTTTTGAGCACTTCAGTTGTTCCAAGATGCCAGTGTATTCTGCTAATGCTTGGAAACGGAAATAACTCACGGAGGGATCAGGGAAATCATGGAGGGAAGGGTGCATAAAACACCAAACAAATTGCCTTTGTTCCTAGGGACACAGCAAGCCAGCACGTTGCAGTTTGACTGGGAAACAGAGACACTCGTGTCTGACTAGAGATCGACTAAGTCACACAGGACTGACTGCACCTTTTGCCCCAAACATCCAGGTTAGCACCCAAGACTTCCTCATGTCGAGCACTCTCAGTTCCCTGAAAAGGTGCCCACCCCCACCCAGAACACCCTTGCTGAAAGGAAAATTGAAAAGAAAAATGGATGATTCACCTCTTTGGCTGCTGGCAAAGCAGTTGGCTTATCTGACAGTAACCACCGAGGGTGACCCGACTGCTTAAGAAAAAGGTAGCATTGGGAACACCCCATCCAAGGCAGAAAGACAGCTCTCAGACATCCACACGGTGTCAGACGCCAGCACAATTCAAACAGCAGCAATTCAAGAAGAGGGGAACATACGCACTGGGAATGTTAGGCCACTTTCTGGTGTCGGAAA